TAACACGTTTATAAAGTTCTTGTTGCAAGACAAAGAAACGAAAAAACAAAAAAAAAAAAAAAGAGAACAAACGGATAAACACATACATAAAAATCCAAATGAATAAAATAGAGATAAATAAGTCTGCTTTTTTTTTTTTTTCTTTAAGAATCAAACAACAACGAGAAAGCAGATAATCACACACATTTATATTTATATATATATGTGAAAAAGAAAAAGCCACAAATATCTAATAACACACAAACAACAATGAAGAATAAATATAATATAATTGAGGAAAAGAAAAACAAAAAAAAAAAAAACAGTAACAATTATACACAATCAGTTCTTCGCTCTTCCTTTTGTTATTTCTTTTTCTTTATTCATTTACTGTACGATGTGATAATTTTAATGTATCATTACCAATTGCAGGTGTTGTACGTTCAACACGAATTATTTTTAATGGTTTACTTTCAATCGTTGATGATTCATGTTCAATTTTTTCATTTGGATTTTCAATAACAATTACTTTTTCATTAATACGATAATTAGATGTATGATTAGGTCGAATTGTTTTATATGAAGAATCACTTGAAAGTATAATTGATGGAGAACATTCAATATTTAATGGTCGTTTTAAATATCCTGATGATAATCGTTGTATTGAATTATCTATACATGAAAAAAAAAAAAAGTTTAAATAAAAATTTTTGTTAAGAAAAAAAAAAACAACATACTTTTTTTCTCATCTGGTTCTTCTTCTTGTGTTAATTTAAATTTTTTATTCATATATTTTTCAACTGTATTTGAATAAGTATATCCAGGTGCAGCTAATTTTTGTTGAGATGATAATAATTTATATTTATTATTTGTTGGTAAATAAGGTCCATGATATTGTTGTTCATGTTCATCAAATGATAGTAATACACGTGATTTATAATTATTCGGTATATAATTTGAATATATTGGTTCCTGTTTAATTAAATCTTGTTGTTCAAGTAATGATTTTGTTGTTGTTGTTGAACGTATATTATTTGATGAATCAGGATTATTTGATGATGATGATGATGACGATGATGATGATGTTACTGATTTTTGTTGTGAAGATGATCCATCATTTGATGAACGCATAAAATCATCTACTGATTGTTTAGTAACTATAGGTGACCATATACCAAATAGAACAGCAAAAAATAAACATAAAACCTAAAAGAAATATTTTTATTTAAAAGAAAAATAAAAAAAAAAGCTTTACCATTAAAACTTTCCCTGTTGTTGGTGTTCCTTTGCCGACCATTGATCGAAGTGATTGAAGTTCTTGCATTAATGATCTGCAAAAACAAAATTTCAAAATTAAGATTTATCAATCAATTTTTTATATTTATTCATAATAATAGTATGGATTTTTAGAAACAGATAACTTACAAAAAAAAAAAAAAACAAACAAAACTATAATATTTTTTATATAATTGTCAAAATAAACTGATCATTTAATTATCAAAATAAATTTGTTCTACTTGTTAATGATTTTCATTTTATTGATTGACATATAAAATAATGTATTCTTATATATATATATATATATATTTTATAATTATTATCAATAAGCACTTTATATGCAAATATTTCTTTAAAACGGATACGGATATTAATAGAATGATGACGTCATTGAATAAAGAGAAAATTAGTTTTTCCTTTCTTTTCTATCTCAAATGGAAAATTAGATCAGTTCTGAGATTATATTGAAATTTATGAACATTGATGTTAAGTTGTATACTTTATTTTCAAGTAGAGATGTACAGGATAGGGCAAAGGTTAGAAAAATTTTCTCAATTAGGGCATAGAGTGCAAGAAAAAAAGGTTTATCCCGTACATTGTCTAACGTGATATGGTTTTGCTATTTATCACTTTTAGGGTCATTCTACTAGGATAGGATTAAGAAAGTGTAAGATAAAAACTTTGTAGAGTAAAATAAAAGTTTATCTTACATATCTTTATTTTCAAGATATAGGACGAGAAATTTGGTTGTCTTCTGCTTCTTCTACAAACATATTCTCGAAAATAAAGTCTACTTTATCTTTTTGTAGAAATTATTATAAAGAAAAACTAGAACATTTAAATATCTTAAGAACTATGATAAAAGCTTTGTTATAGAAAAGACAAATCTTTTGAATTATTGAGATTTATAATCCTTGTAACAAGAAAAAAGTCATAAAAATTATAACATATACAGACATAACTGAATCTAAATATATAGAAATTTCTAAATTATCTTTTTTAATCTTACACATGTGTGTTGTCAAAATTTTCTGATAACAATTTTTTGTTTATATAAAAAACAAAGTCATTTCATATGATTACCTTTGATTTTTTTCCATTGTTGATACACGCTCTTTAAGTGCACCATTTTCATCAATATATTTAGCAATTTGTCGCTCCAATGTGTCAACATATTCTTTTTTCTTACGACGACTTTCTTGAGCTGAAATCTAAATAAAAAATCATATTCATTTAATAAAAAAAAAAATCGTTATTTTTACTTTATTTTTAATTTTTCTTCGAATTTTTTTTAAGATTTTTTCTTCAGTTTTATTTAATGGTAATTTTGTTGGTATTTGATAACCTTCTTGTTTGATTAATTTTAATTCTTCATCTGTTAATAGTAATGGGCCAGATGATGGTAATTTCTAAATAAAATAATAATAAAATATAAATTGAATAATAAACAAAAAAATTTACTTCAAGATTTGTTAACATTGTTGAGGAATTTTTATTTAAACTATAAGGTTGATAACGATGTAAACGATTTTTACTATAATTATTATCATGACTAATATCCGGTGATGCCATTGTTCGTTCATCAGGTGATTCACTTGATGTTGATGGAGTCATTGGAAGATTATCAATATCGGCATCTAAAATTGATTAAATAAATAAAAATAAAAATAAATCGTTTTTCTTTTACATTCACTGTCATCAATATTTAAATCTTCAATTGATGCTGTTGTTGTTGTAGTTATTTCTTCATTAATTGTTGATGTTGGTAATGTATTAATTAATATTGTTGGTAAACAATTAGTTAATTGAATAAAATTTGTTTGAGATTTATTGGAATTATTAGGTGCTTGAATATAAACAACATTACCTTTGGTTAATTGTACGACTTTTGGTAAATGTTGATTAGTAATTTTAGTTGTATTTATAATAACCGGTAATTTTTTAGGTGGTGGAGGTGGTGGTGGTAATAATGTTGGTTCAGTTTTTTCTATATTAGAATTATTTTCAAATGGTGAAAATGGGAAATCTTCTAAGAGATCAATTGTTGAATTATTATTTGATGATAATGATGAGTCTGGTGATGGAAAATTAGCTAAGAAATTTTTTAATTCATTTTCAAATTCTATGAAAAGAAAATATAAGAATTTAATATTTTAAAAAAATAAAAAAATAATTTACCAGGATTATCCGTCATATTTGATATAGTTTCTTGTTCAAATTTATTTGGACTTGGTAATGGTAAATCAAGATCAATGCCTCCAAGGTTATCATCATTAGAAAGTAATAAACTATCTGGTATTGATGGAATTTGTCCATCATTGTATAAACTAAGAAATGGGTCGGCAATAGGATCCATCATCATTTTAAAATTCTATTCCCTAAAACAGGAAGTAGGGAAATATTAACATACAAAGAATTTCCTTGTTTTTTGTTTCTCTTTCTGTCTATGACTCATGAAAAACAAGTGCTGTTCAGCCAATAGAAAATAAAAAGAGAGGACGCTGGAATAGATCGACAAAGATAAATAAATATAAACATGGGAAAATTCTCTTTCACTTGTCATACGATTTGAAGGAATAATAGCTTACAAAAGATAATCGTATTTGCAGTCGTTTTCTTTTTTTTTTTCTTCCGTTTTTTTGTATTTTATTGTTTAATACCCGATACTATCGTTCTTTTAGAAAGAAAAATAATGTCCTTGAGGAACCTTATTGTCATATCAATAATGATAAGAAAAAAAAAATGCATCTGTGACGCGCTCAGTGATTCTATGTCTTATGATTTTAATCTACGAGTTTCGAATAACCTTCATTATATCTGACTATTGATTTTCTTCTACGTAAAATGCGTACGTTTTTTCATAGAAACAATGAATTGATAATATTTATTGTTATTATTTTTTTTAGGTTGAGATGAAGTGCTTACCGTTTTTAAATGACGAAAAGAAATAACTGCAGCTGGTGTAGACAGTAGAATGCGTAAGACATCATGCTGTGATGATGGTTTTTTTAATATGCGGACTTGTTCCTTTTTTTATGTGTCCTGCCACGCTAGCTGCTACTCAGAAGGAAGAAAAGATGACTCAAACTCGTCTTTTATCTAACTCGTATATTTATAATGAAGTAAAACTTTAAAAATATTGAATAAGAAAAATTTCACTATTAATCCCCTCTATATCGTCATCTCAATCAAAGAACATTTTACCTATACTATCGATGTATAAATACAATAATATTATTATAATATTTTTCGGTTTTTGCTCTTAATATTAGTAGTAAACATGAAAAACAAAGAAAGAAAAAAAGCTGGGCGATAAAAAAGAGAACCCATTGAGTAATAAAAGAAAAAAGAAACGGCCCTGATATACGAATGGCGACATGATTTATAAAAATGAATGCATAACACAGCGACACATTGTAATTATCAACAAAGAATAAAAAAAAGTATATAGAATGCGCAATATAATGAAAAACATTAAAAAATTAGCGTTTTTTTTTTTAAAACAAAAAACAAGAAAAAAACAACGTACCAATTTTCATTGAATATGTATGTTAGTTGTATGATCGTTCTTTAGATTTCACGATTGAATCTATTTGATTAAGCTCACTTTCATTGCGTTGGTTGAACGTGATCCATTCATACTTGTCATAGACAATGTGTTTTAAATAAACATAACCTTTATATTCAATGTGATCTGCTTTTGTTTAGATTTTCTTTTTTTTTTGCCTTCATATTCTTAAATTATGGCCTTCTGGGATCTAAGTGATAGTCAACGTATGGGTGCTGGATTAATTGGTTTTGCATTTTTCTTTATTTTACTTGGTTTTGCTCTATTTTTTGATCGAGCTTTATTAGCACTTGGTAATATATTTCTTATCGTTGGTGTTATTCTTCTTTTGGTATGTAGTAGTTATTTTGAAAATAGAAAAAAACAAACATTCTTTTATTATTATTTTTATCTTCACCTAGGGAATTGGTCGAGCACGAACATTTTTTGTACAACCAGATCGTTTAACTGGTTCAGCTTGTTTTTTTGCTGGTATTGCTTTACTTCTTCTTCGTTGGCCAATTGTTGGTGTTATACTTGAAATAATTGGATTTTATAAATTATTTGGTGGATTTTTTCCTGTGATTATATCAGTTCTTCGATCAATTCCTGGTTTTGGTTTGGTACTTTCTTTACCATATATTTCAACATTGATTAATAAATTAGAAGGTACTGATAATAAAAAACCAACAATAAAAAAATCTGTTGTAACAACAAATCCAGCTAGACCTGTTAATATTGGTCAAGAACTTGGTCAACGAAATATCAAATGAAATTTTTATTGTAAACTTTTTATTGTTATATATTTTTGTCGAAAGGATATTTTATGAAAAACAGATATTATAGTCTAGAAGAAAATAAATTTGAAAAGAACTTCTTTATTCAATGGATCATTTGAAAAAAAAAAGGAAATTATTTGTATAGGAAGCAATTTAGAACAATTACTATTATGATTTTCTTTTAGTCAAAATAAAATATTTTTGTTGAAAAGATGAAATCAAAAAAAAAAAAAAGAACTAAAGCCATTGACACATTAGAAGACATGGGGTCTACTATTCTGTCTTATCGTTCATAAGTTAAAAGGGAATCTTCTATTATATCCCTAAAACAAGTCATATTTTTTGGCAGTCTCACCAACAAACCATAGTTTCATTTGATTTTTGTCCAATACATCTTTAGTAAATGAGTTTGTCTCATGTATTTCGTATGTGTAGAATAAGAACGAAACAGATATTATCCTGTGAAAAAAGGGAGACCATCGTTGGTAAGAAGTGTTCCTAGAATAATACAGGCAACGTAGCCTAGCATCTTAATACGATATCCAATAGCGTTCTTTTTTTCTCAAAGCTAAGACTTATTACTGACAACATTTTACCTTCTCAATAACTAAATAAATGTAAAAAAAAGAAAATGAATTTTTTTTTCTAATCAAACTCATTTAATTCAGTTGTCTATGTGGATATTTGATTAGTATAGATGAAATTCATTTACAGTGAATTCTGCGACTAGCATAGTTATTAGTCTCAAGCTAACTTCAATGAATATGATTCTCTTACAAAGAAACCATTTATAGAAAATCAGCAGTTGAATACACATTCTGTATTGTCTTTTGTGTCTGTTTCGAAAAATACTTTTGAATCTTGTTGAGAAAAGAAATATGTTCTTAAACTCGAAAGAAGTACTCACATATCAAACCTCGATGTATATTCATGAAGTTATGTTTTCTCCAATCATGAAAGACTGTTTTGTGTTAAAAACATTTCTAATTTTTTAGAAGAAAGTCAAAGATGAAGAGATCTTTTAATTAATACACGACGACATTTTACCTGATCTGTTACTATTGTACAAAGATCTTTTCGCATGTTACACGTGCGAATGTGCACTTCGTTCATTAGATTCTATGACCATGGGAGCGTGTTTTTCGTGTATAGAATCTAAAGAATGTTTCCAGAGTAAACTTCAAAGGAGTACTAAAATGGCTTCACGATATGTTTTTAATAAAGAAATGCAATCTTTAATAAACAGTTGTTTCTCATTAGCTGCTTCTCAAGATTTTACTCACTCGGATCAGACACTTCGTTATGAGGATGGAAGCAAAATATTGTTCGTACTGAATTTATATATTATTATGGACTTAAATACTAAAAGAGTCAATAAACTCCGGAAACTATTTCAAAAATATCGATTTTTTTCTAGGAGAGTCTTCTAATATGTTTGTTTTTTGCGTCATTTATTCAAGGAGGATCTTTGAATGTGTCGAGGACTTTAATTTTTGACATGTTGTTGCTTTAGTCTGAACAAAAAAAATATGTTGTATCATAAAATAGATTTCATGGAAGTAAATGAATGATGATGTTCATATTGAATTGATTCAGTTATAGTCTTCATACAAAAATCATTAGTACATAAATGACAAGAAAAATTATTTTTTAGATGATATACTGTGTCGTATATTCAATTTAGATATGTATTATTTAAAAGATAACATTGACATTTATATATTCCACTACTAAATATTGTATTATCTATCATAATAGTACGTGATTTATTACATGAAAAATAAGTGAATGTGATCCGTAAGCAAGAATTCGTCCAAAAAAAAGTAATTTAATAAAAACTGATCTTATCATGCAACATTTAATGATTAATATCAAGTATTATTATTCTTCTTCGAAATAAACTTGATGGATAAATGTTAGTTCTAATCATTATTGCTTGGATATATATGCAAGACATTATACAAATGGAAAAATAACTAACTTTTCTTCTGTATTGGATTTATTTTTCGATGCCTTTTTGTGACTACACAACAAGATTTAACTATGAAAAGCATGAAAATAGCAATAAGACCAAGCACAATTTCATCACAAATATTGTATCATCATTACGAAGGAAATCTAAAGTTTAAAAAAAAACACAGGTTGACTTCCTGTAATTCAAATTTTTACGTTTGAAGTACCATAATAGTGTTTTTTTCTCATTTCTTTGTAACTACAACTTTCACTTGTTAAACATAATCAATAATCATCTCATTTATTATAGATGGATTTTGAATCAATCTACTAAGATATTGTTAGATTTTTGTTATGTTTTTTACCTATCATGATGACGCGAATATTTGTGATGAAGTTTAGTCCCGTGAATGAGTATATCTTATCTTCGTTGTTTTTTTCTTTTTGAAGATCGTTATAAGATGACGTAATAGAACATATATATATATACATTCAAGTTTTGTCACTATTAGAACTTTGAGGGCAGTAAGAAAAACAATATGGAAGATCAAAATAATGTCAAAAAACCATTATTACCACCAACTCTACCTCGTTGGTGGCGTGTATTACTACCTCTAAGTCTTATAGTAATAATATCTACTATTGATAAGATAGTTCTAAATGATTTTATCGAATATCGTTATACGATTTATTATGGATTAAATTCTTCATCCACACAAAATAATCATGAATTATGTTTAAATGCTAGTCGAAGATCACATTATTCTACAGCTTCAATATTATTAACAACAACAACACCAAAATATCCTATATCAACTACACTATCACCAAATGAACAAATTCAAGCATCAAATGCACATTTAAATGTTCTTCTATCTCTTGCTGCAACTGTACCTTCTATTTTAATATCGATTCTTCTTGGTGCTAATTGTGATCGAATTGGACGAAAATCTTTAGTTGCTTTACCATTTATTGGTAAAAGTATACGTTATGTTATTTTAACATTTGTTGCTTATTACGATCTATCGAATATATGGATTATTCTATCAGTTATATTTGATGGTATATTTGGAACAGCAGCTTTAAGTATTTTAAGTTCATTTGCTTATGTAACTGATTGTACAAATGAAAAAAAACGTACATCAAGTATTACAGTTACAGAGGTTTCTCTTATTGGTAGTCGACTTTTACCATTACTTCTAGTGGGAATATATTTACAACATCCAAGATATGTTCAATTAATGATATTTACATTACTATTAAGTGTAAGTGGGTTTATTTTTTGTATTTTTTTCCAACCGGAATCAAAATTAAATGTTCAACATTTAAATATGTTTCAACAATTAAAACAATGTGAATTTCAAACAATAGCAAAAAGTTTTCGAGTATTTTCTGTTAAACGTAAAGAACATAAACAAAGATCATTATTAATGTTAGTTAGTATACATCTACTTTCAATTATTATGCTATTGGGAAATATGTCTATAAATTTTCTTTATTTATATGGTGCACCATTTTGTTTTGATTCATTTGGTGTAAGTTTAAATAATTCAGTACAAATAGTTACTACTGTTTTATTAACTATACCATTTACATTATTTATTGCTAAACGTACTGATCATTTATTATTACCAATGCTTGGTTGTTTAGCTTACATAACACAATTAATTTTATTTGGAATAGCTCCACAAAATTGGATACTTCATTTAGCTGCCGGTATTGGTGGTATGTTGTATGTATTAATACCAATAATACGTTCACGTATTACAAAATTAGTTGAACCTGATGAATATGCTGTAGTCTTTATACTTGCTAGTGTAGTTGAATCAGGTGGTTATTATGCAATTAGTGCACTAACAAATGAAATTTATCAATTATCATTATCATTTTATCCGGGTCTTGTTTTTTTTTGTCTTGCAATAGTTGGTGTTATAACAATTATTTTGATGTCGTATGTATAGAGAAGTTTTATTGATAGAAAAAAAAAAATAAACAATACATTGATTTATTTTTCTTTAATTTTAGAATTTTGTACATTTTGGAATATCGACCAGCAGAAACGGAGAAGACTTTAAGTCTAAACGAATAGGTTATTTGAAAGATTTCATTTGTTTTTTTTTTTTTTTGTAACTGTGAATAAATGAAAACAAAAATTGTGAATTGTCATGTTGTCGCAGTATATGACATGAGAAAAAAAGTGAATGACAGGAATTTTAATATCTATTAATGATCCTTATCATAGATTGTGATAAATAAGAATGTTTGTCATAGTGATGAAACTACTTTTCTCTTTATAGAATTCAATTCTTCATACAATAATATTAAAAGATTTGTTTATTTATTTTATTTTCATGATTAATTAAACCTTAATTATAAAATTAAAAAATTCAAAGAATTGAATCAGAAGTTTAAAATTATAGACTTACATTTGAAAAAGTTAAAAACATCGAAGATATATATTAATTCTACAGTAAAGTAATGTATTTCAATCAATTGATTCATTTGTAACTTGTAGACTTTTAATTTTTCATTGCCGAATCGATCACTTTATTGATTATGATATCAAATGGCATTAACTGTATAATACATAATCGAATTTATGTATCTGTTGATTCATAATAAAAAAAAAATTCTGATTTTTTTTTTGAAATTAAAAAACGAAAATAAGATTTGTGAAGTTTAAATATTTTTGCATAGATTTTTCTTTGAAAATAATAATAAGTTTTCTATAAAACATTTTAAATGAAAACTAAATATGCATGCATCAAGAATAAAAAGAAAGAAAACATTCATCCATCAATGTCTAATTTTTATACAAGTAGTCCACATGGAGCATTGTCATCGGAAGACGGAAAGACTACAGAGACTTTTACGATCATCTCCTATGAAAATTCATTGCTAATCATTATAAATTATACATTTTTTTAAAATACTTTTATTTATTTTACAAACATTTATTATTTGTTTTCTATAAATATTCAATTCGAAATTATAAGAATTCTTAAAATTTTTTATTGAAAATATCTTTTGTAATATAATCTAAATGAATTCTTAATACAAATTATTTTTACTTTCTTGGTTATAAAATTTCTATTAGTCAGTTGATGAATAATTTCATAAAAAAAAAAGAGTCAAGTTTCAATTAGAAAATAAATCATGCATAAAGAATTTAAATGATTATTATTCAACACATCATTGAGTGTTACTTGGAATGACATGATAGAAAGTTTATAAAGCAAAAATTTCTTCCGTATTTCTTTTATTATTTGCATATTGTTAACAGCTGAAGCGTTTTTTTTTTCTTATTCTTTTACTTCTATTGATGACCATAGCAATGTTTGAGAACTTCCTGCTTTTCTTTAGCACATCGTTTTCTTTTTTCTTTTTTCTTTTTTTTTTTTTTTTATTTTATTTTATTCATCGATTGTTGTTGTTTTTGTCTGTTAAAAAGAAAGGCATGTTCTATATGAGAGATCTTTTTTTTTTCTCGCCGTTCTTCATATAGAATAATAATGTTATATCTTATTTCCATTAGAGTGAGTCTTATTTCAATCAATAGAAAGACGAAAACAACGAAGATGTCTTTTTTTTTTATCTTACTTGTCAATATGATTGAATTCTTTCGTCGAGAGCTTTTTTTTTTAGAGATAAATATCTGTCATCATCAATGTCAGATATAACTATATCTAGTCTACCATTGGTATATTCTTCATTTATAAATAAATTTTTTTATTCATATTAAGGTAAATAATTATTAATGATATTTAAGAAACTTTTCTTTTTTTTTTTTTTTTTTTTTTACTTGTATTCAATTTTATACTTGTGTGAAAATTCTAGTAGATAGAAAAAGATGTTGTGCTTCATGAAGCAAGAAAATTATTTAGTCAAACTGTTCCTAGCTATGATGATAGAGGTATCTCGTATAAGCGTCTTATGAGAGTTCTCTTATGGAATAAATAACAAAAAAAAAAACGACAAAGAATAAAAAAAAAAGGCGTCGATCTATTTGTAGCTCACATCTTTTTCCTTTGCATTCAAGTATGGATGCATAAGCAAGCGTCGATATATATGTGTATGTGTGTTGACATCAGACGTAATTGCTTTAGCCTGTATGTTTGTTACGAACGAAAGCACACATCATCACCATCATCATCACCATCATTCGGCTTCTTTTATCTCTTTAATTTATCCTTCCACTAGCTATTGCCTCAAGCAGATTTTGGCAAAAAAACAAAATTTTCTATCATTATCTTTCTATCTTAGATTTCTAACATCGCACATTTTCAAAGCATCGTAATGCCATTGTGCTTTTATATTATCATTGATCCGCTATTTCCGATCAAAATGTGTAAACATTATTGATTGTTTTGATGATGCAAGTGCTATGGTTGATCAACACACTTGAAAACGAATAAGCATAGGCTTATGTCTCAGATAATCAACTTTTGTTGTTATATTCAGTAGACGTCCTAACTTGAAAATATTTTTAGCAATATATATATATATATATATATATATATGAACGAGAGAAAAGAGAATCGTCAGAAATTTTTCTATGTCAAGCAGAACGAGCGTTTGCAAGCTTACTGCTATTCTGTCGCGCTCAATTATGTGCAGCACAATGTGCAGATGTATAAATAGTAGAGAGAGGAAAAAAAGAAGAAAAGAGAAAAAAACTGAGAGAACCCGTTTCTATCGCATAACACTAATTATTAATGTGGGAGACAGACAGTAGAATCGGAACAACGACTACGGAGAAGAAAATCAAAGAAGTAGACGAAGAAGAAGAAAATATAATAGATTTTTAGCAAGCGAAGGAACAAGAAAAATCTCGTTGAATGCAAGTAACAGAATAGTAGTATTGATGGTCTCGTCTATCGCATTTGTGGACTACTTAGGCGATCAACTTCGGTGTGTATCAGAAAGATGAGGAAAAAAGAAAGAAAGCAAACATATGGAAAAGAAAGGCTATTGCATTCTGTATCCGTTATGGCAGCATCCCAGATCATTATCAATTCTGATCTGATATAGACAACGATAGAAGAAATCTCTTTCTCTATATGTGTTCGGCGCGTGCGTCCTCATTGTTCATACGCAATTTGTACCTACGCATTTTTTTCTCGTCTGTTTCTTGCTTTCTCTCTCTCTCCCTCTCTCCTTCTCTCTATCTCTTTACATCTATGCGTCGTTGTCGGAGACGTATCGCATCCTATTGTGTCTATTTTCCATATACAACGCAACTATCATAGAAAATTTTTCTCTTTTTTCTACTATTGCGTCGAGTTCGATGTATTAATATCAATGTATAGAGATCAACTTGTTGTCTTCCAAGAAAATGAATGGTTATGAGTGTATCTACAAACAATGCTATATATAAAGGTATAGAAAAAAAATAAAGATATTTACTAGAATGTTAGAGAACTCGTACAATTGTATAAAAATGACACATACTCGATCATTCTTTTCTCATCGACTTGTTCTATTTCTCTTTCTATTTGATGACATCTAAAAAAAAATCATTTGTTTATGATAGTACCATCGATATATGTCAACCTTCGACTACATATCTGTCTCATTAGAAAGATCAAACGAGATGGAAAAGAAAAAACGAGAAAGAAAAATGCAACTATGTACTATAAGATGATTTTCATCTATCACCTTATTCGGAGTCGATATATAACAATACTTTCTCGTTTTTTTGTAATCTAACTAATGCATGAGATCAGTTGTCAAAACATTCTTTGGTCTTTCTTCATTCCTTATTTTGTTATATTAGTTCTAGTAACATTACACATAAGCCACAAATGATGGCAACAACAACAACAACAACAACAACATCAACATCGACATCGACAAAAAAGGAATCATCGCCACCAACATCGACAACTAATACTTATGTTCGATGTCTTCCACATCCGCCTACATATCATTTAACAATTGCTGATTTATTTGATACTTCAACTGGTGGTGGTAAACCTCGACTTGAACGTCTTCGTGAACATCTAATTGCTGAAGGACGTCTTGAAGAAGATGCTGCATTAAAGATTATTGAATATGGAGAACATTTATTACGTTCTGAAAATACATTAGTCGATTTAGAAGCTCCAATAACTGGTAAAAATTATTTCCGAAAAAAAAAAAAGAATTTTTTCTTTTATTAAATAATTCTTTCATTTAGTTTGTGGTGATATTCATGGACAATTTTATGATCTTATGAAATTAATTGAAGTTGGGGGTAAGTAATCTATTTTTAACTATATGTCAATTGAATTACAACAGAAAAACACAATAACAACAGCAACAAAACTTCTTACTTTTCCAGATAACGCTAAACTGTCAAAAATAATTTATATACATATATATATGTTAAAAAATTGTCTTATTCTTTTCTTTGGTTTTTTCTATTAAGGTCCACCAGCTACAACACGTTATTTATTTATGGGTGATTATGTTGATCGAGGTTATTTTTCCATTGAATGTGTTCTTTATTTATGGGCACTTAAAATTCATTATCCGAAAACATTTTTTCTACTTCGTGGAAATCATGAATGTAGACATTTAACTGAATATTTTACTTTTAAAACTGAATGTAAGTTTTCTTTTCTTTTCTTTTTTTCTTAATTTATAATTATATTTCAATCTTTATTGTCAAGGCAAAATTAAATATACAGAACGAGTTTATGATGCATGTATGCATGCATTTGATTGTTTACCATTAGCTGCTGTTATAGATAAACAATTTCTTTGTGTTCATGGTAAGTTAATATTGAATGAAAAATTTATGTCTTTAAAAAAAAGAAAAGAAAACAAAATATGTTTTATAATAGGTGGTCTTTCACCAGAAATTCATACATTAGATGATATTAAAAAATTAGATCGTTTTAAAGAACCACCACCATATGGTCCAATGTGTGATTTATTATGGAGTGATCCCGTTGAAGATTATGGACATGAAAAATCTCATGAAGAAAAATATTTATTCAATGCAACACGTGGTTGTTCATATTTTTATACATTTAAAGCTGTTAATGATTTTCTTGTTCGAAATTCTTTATTAACTGTTATACGTGCACATGAAGCACAAGATGTTGGTTATCGTATGTATCGTAAATGTCCACAGAGTGGTTTTCCATCATTAATGACTATATTTTCTGCACCAAATTATCTTGATGTTTATCAAAATAAAGCAGCTATACTTAAATATGATACAAATATAGTTAATATAAGACAATTTAATTCTTCACCACATCCATATTGGTTACCAAATTTTATGAATGTTTTTACATGGTCATTACCATTTGTTGGTGAAAAAGTAACAGAAATGTTAATTAATATATTAAATATATGTAGTGAAGAAGAACTTATTACAGATTTATCAAATGATCAACAAAATGATAATGATAATCAATTTCGTCGTGATGCTATACGTTCTAAAATACGTGCAGTTGGAAAAATGGCTAAAGTTTATGCATCATTACGTGAAGCTAGTGAAAATGTTTTAAATTTAAAAGGTCTTGCACCTGTATCACCAGCATCATCAACAACAAATCTTACTGAACTTATGGATGAAGAAGGAGATACAACAGAACATCGAAAAGTACCAACAGATTTTTCATTTTCAACAGCTAAAACATTTGATCAAATTAATGAACGTATGCCACCATGGTCCGATGCTGAACGAAAACAACGTTTAACAAATAGAAATCAAACAACAAATGAAGAGTCAATTATACATAATGTTGATAGTGATAATGAACAAAAAGAATCAACAATAAATGAAAGAGACTCGACACCTCATACACCTATTCTTGTTATACTAAAAGAAGATGAAAAAATTCTCAATGGAACCGATAAGTAATGAAGAAAGTTTTTTCATTTTGTCTTTTAATCCTACAAAAATAAACTACTTTTATTTAATAAGATAATATTGTCCGTGACATTATTTCTTCTTTCTTAGTTAAAAAGAATTCGAGTATTTGTGTATTGTTATTCTTTTGTTTTCCTTCATTAGCAGATACTTAATCATACGACAACATAACGAGAAAGTCAAAAACAATATATCCTTATCAGAAGACTCGAACATCTTATCTTTCAATAGTTTTCCTAAGTATCTCAGAAAAAAAACAGTATATTTTGCCTAAAATAGAGTTTTCCTTTCTTATCTATCTGTACTCGTAGAGATAATTCGAAAAACAAATTTTAAATCTTCAATATCTTTCCTATTGCAAATGACTTTTAATAATATTTATCCACAGTGTTTTTTTTTTGTCTTTAATCAAATGATAAAGCTAAATTTTAAGAATATGTTTTTTTTTTTTTCATATATATTTAGTATTCCAAACAAAACATCATGTGAATCTTCTTCTTCAAAATCCAAAACAGATTTATCTCAATTAAAACAAAAATCTATTTCATCTTCAACCGGTGATCAACATACTGATCTTGAACATACTCAAATAAATTCTGATAAAAATCATGATAAAAATTTATCTCATCAAAAACATTCCACCAATATTTCGAATTCTTCAACAGCAAGTGGTGGTTTTTCAATAAAAAATCCTGTTAGTTCATTTCGATCATGGGTATCACATAAAAAATCTTCGAAAGAAGATTCAATGACAACAACAATGAATCGTTCTATAACAAAATACGGAAAAATTGATACATCTCCAACACCACGTAAAGCATCTGCGAATTCAGATGCAACAAAACGAACTCGAACCAATTCAGCATCAGCTACAACAACATCATCTGTAATTAATAATCATCATCAGCAACAACAACAACAACAACAACAACCAACTCAATCAAATTCTTCTTCGGCTACATCAGCAACACGTGTAAAAAAGAAATCATCATTTACATTACGTAATACAAATCCAATAACATTACTTAAACGAACACCAGAAACAAATCATCATCAAACAGATTTATCACCAACTGAACAAACAGGAGCCGGAGGAGGAGGAGGAGGCGGCGGAGGTCCGTTTGGTTATTTAAAACAACTTGTGCGAGGCGACAGTAGTAGCAGTGAAAAAAAGCAGTAGTACGTTGTGTGTTTTTGTGTGTGTTTTTGCTTTTCTTTTCTTTTTCTTTTTCTTTTTTTATTTGTTTGTTTCGCTGTTGTTCGTTCTTTCTTTTGTATATAAGAAACATGTTTAAATCCAAAGATATTTAATGATTAGAAGACAGACATAAACAGCTGTTTTGAAAAAAAACTGATCGACACTTGTGTTCATCTAATATTTGATCTCATTGATCATTAACCTTTAAAAGATCAGTTGCTCGTATAAACATAGAGATCGATTTGTGATAATAATCATTGACATTTTCTTTTATTCATATGTTTACTGTAAAAAAAAACCGAATGTCATCTATGGTTTAATGTAGCAACAAAGAAAAAAAAATTTATGAGTTTATAAATAGATATATTGATAACAAAATAATATTATTTAGAAGAAAATAAGACGCAGATGAGAAGAATAATTTAGTGTCATTGAAAGCGACAAAAAAAAGTATAATGATGATGATGATAAATGGTTGATATATTTTTGTTTTTCTTGACGTACGTAAATATGTGTGAAAAACAGTAAATATTTTTTTGTTTTTTCTGTTTTGTATAAGAAACAATAAGTCTTTGAAAGGATTTATACGTTACTCTATTATTATGAATATAATGCATTTCAAGAAAACCAAATGAATATTTACTTGATTCTCTCTTTCAAAATTATCTTTTATTGAAAATAAAAAAAGATTATCTTATATTTTTTTAGTTTTCTGTTTGTCTTTCTTTTAATATAGATCTATGTTTTGCTTTATATTTTTTATTTAAAAGATAAGTAATAAGTTATTCTATTTCTGTAACCACATTCTTTAATGACATTTTTTTCTTTGAAAAAAACGAACATCTTCATCATTAATAACCTCATGTTGTTTCCTTTTTGCTTAATAAAATTTGTAGCGTAAGACGTATTTCGTAAAAAATTAGATTAATAGAATAGAGAAAAATATTTCTAATGAAATAAAAAAAAAATGTCTATCCTTCTAATCTTACTTCGTTTTATTCATTTACAAATATTTCATTATAAATTCTCGTTCGGCACATCAAAAAAAAAAAAAATAGAAAACGAATATTCATTTAGTAATTCATTTTTTTTTTTGCTTTTATCTGTGCATTTTCCACATCATCAATTAATTTAACAATTTTTTCATAGTATCTTTCTTTAGCTAATTGTCTTCCATTTCGTTTAAAACTAACATGAACATTTATATGTTTATAACCATGATCGACAAGCCATTTTAATCTTTTATAATTTCCATTATTAATTAAACGTACAATATATAAATCAAGTTCAGTTTTAGCTTTTATACGATTTGTTAACACACAATATTCTCTTAAAGTTAATTTTTTATAATCAGGATGTTTAGCTGATAAATCAACGTTTTTATCCAGTAATAAACGTATTAAACCATTATTTGATTGATAATGTAATGCAGTAACAAGTGCATTATCATATTGACCTTTTATACTTGGATCAGCATGACGAAATAATAAAAATTTTGCTGCTTCATTTTGATTATATGTTATAGCTGTTAATAAAGGTGTTGTTGTATAGTTTTCATTATTTAGTTGTTGTATATTAATATCAATTTTCCAATGTGTCAAAAAGTAATCTAATAAACGTACTGAACCCATTTGTGCAGCATAAAATAGACCATCTTTAGCTAAATTACGTTGTCTTGTTTCATTACGTAGATATCGTATAAATTTATCACAACGACGAATATCATTTAATTGTAGTATACGAAAAAATCGTTGTTTTAATGATGGAAGTTTCAATCGATGACGAATAAGATCAGCTAACTGATTATGTTTTAATTCATATGCATATTCATAAGCATTGAAAGTCTTTTGAATTAATTGAGTAGTGGATGTCGAAGTTACTGGTACCATGATCCAAAAAAAAAATAAATGAATTATTAGATTTGGTTTTTGTTACATTTAAAAAAATGTGTCTATACTATTTTCAATTGAAATATTAGACTTTTTTTGGCGAGACTCATAGTAATAATAGATTTATGTTCATCATCGACTGAAATTTCAACCGAAACGGATCAAATTTCTAACTATATGGGTTCTATTCTATATCAGATGTACTTCGAAAACATGCATTAATTTCAAATGAGAAAAATTTAATTATAAGTTTTTTTTTTGTTTATTAATTTATTGTCAGATATGATTTTCTTTAAAATATTCATCGGTCTAATGATGTTTTCCTTGTTTATTTTTTAAGTCCAACTATTTGTGACTAGTTTACAATTATCTTAATCTAGAATTTACCAAATACATTCGGATAGATTTATTAGTACTACGATTCAAGAAAATATGTAAAAATAATTATTTCTATTATTTTCTGTAATATAAAATGGATTTAATTTACTGCACTATCACTCTCTTTCATAAAAACAACAATATTTCATACAGCAATTACGGAATATACTTTATCGATACTTTTCTCTTAAATATATATATAGATAGAAACTTGTTGTTAGTAACCGCTAAAAAGTGTCATTGATAGATTAATTGATTGTCATAGTTTCATATATTAAACCAAATTAAAGTAGTAACAATTTTCTTTCAGCTGATACAAATAGTAAATGTCAATTATTTCATGCTTTTTTTTTGACTTTGTCAATTAAGGATATCCTCCGTCTCTTGTTTGACTACTTTTGATTCTCGAAGAAATCAGATTGAAATTTTTATCACAGATAGAACACCTTGAACAAGGAGACATGTGCTCGAATAGAAAAAAAAAACTTCAAGAGTTTACATCCAGAGGATACGTCTAAGTATCTGTGATAAAAACTTCAGTCTGATCGAATAAAGTTAGAGGGAGATTGTGAGCAGACAAAATTGAGAACACTGATATTTTGCGTTATACTAAGTAAAAGAATAGAATTTCAATACGATCACTATGGAAAAAGAAGAATTATTTAAATTTAGTAATTCTGTAATAGTGAGCGGTTTAGACTCGAATGATGTCTCGAATTGCACATGACCCTTAAGGCTATGACATCTTATGTCGAGCTCAAAATTGAGCTTTTGGTAAAAATAGAGATAGGATGAAGTATGTCTAGTTACTTTTTTTGTTTTAAAATAATATTCCATTGTCGTGTATATTCTATTAAATATCAAAAAGACAAACAATAGAAATGTCCTGATTTTAAGTGTACTAATGAATTATCTTTCTATGATTTTGTTTGATTAATTTGTAAAACTAACTAATATATTCTACTTACTGAATATGATTTATTCAATGGTATTTCCATTTCAAGTAAAACTTTAAGAAATGGTTCATCATTATGTTCAATAGCATAAAAAATTAATGGTTTACTTGGTCCATCATTTAATTCATATTGAATAATATCAAATTTTGCTACTATATTTTCAAAACGTCGAATATGACCACCTTCAACTAATCGTATACAATCAACATATTGTGCTTCATCATTTTTATTACTATTATCAGTAACGGATTTTTCATGTTCTATTGTATCATCCATTTTAATGAAAATTATATCAAAAATATAACAACAAAAATCTATGATCTTACAATTTTTCTTTTCAACTCTCAACCGATTGTTCTCTGTTTATTTAATTTCGTCTGCTAAGCAACGAACTTTTTTTTCTACTATTCATTTTGTAACCTTCTAAAAAGGAATACCATATATCTTATGTCAATAGAAAAAAGAAAAGAATAAAAAAGAAATTACTTGTACATAGTATGTCAATGTTTTGTTCTCATTGTCAGATCACAAGTATATGTTAGGTCAATATTTATGTTTCATATAATAATGAAAACTTTCAATTGATTTCAATAAAAGAAATTCAATAAAAATTTCGTGGTTTTTTTTGTTGATCAATTAAATTTGAATTTATTCAATGATTTTTTTTATAGGAAACAAATTGACTATTATTTTAATTAATATCTTCTCATTTTATGATATAGTAATGAATTTTTTAATATTCTATTTAATTAAAACAAAGAGAAAACATTTATTTAAGCGCGTTAAACAATCAAATTGTTCCCTGTTTAGTTTGATCATGGGCTCATGTTTTTCAACTAGTAAATCTGTACTACCATTAATAACATCAGTTATTTCATCACAAATACCATTGACATCTCAATATGATCAAGATTCATCTCTATTATTAAATCCATATATGAATAAAATTCATGAAATAATTACACAAAAAGAATTTGATGATTTAATAAATAAGAAACTCAATGTTAATGTATTAATTGTTTGTGATTTTTATGCTAATTGGTGTCCACCATGTTTACAAATTGCACCTATTTTATATCAATGGGCATTGAATGATTATAAAACATGTGTTATTTTTCTGAAAATTAATATTGATAATAATATTGATTTAACAAACAATTTTTCAATAAATATTTTACCAACTTTTATTTTATTTAAACAAGGAAAAGAAATTTATCGTTTAATAGGAGCAAATTCAAGTAATCTTAAAAGAGAAATTGATAAATTTAAATAATATTATTGATTTTATTGTAATATTTTGTAATCAATCGAAAATGCTAAAATTTAGTTATAAAATTATTATTGAAAATTTCATTAACAAAAAAAAAAAAAAAAATTAACTGTTTTTATTGAGAACTCTATCATGATGAAATGTGTTTATCATTGACTTTTTCATATTGATATTGTTTACTTAAAACAATAGGATAATCTTTGAGCGAATAGCATGGATATAATATAGGTTGAAGAAGATTCTATCAAAATTTGAATGAATTTAGACTTGTACTAAAGTGTATGTACGTTCATTATATTGAATGTAGTTTTTCGAAAACACTTCTCATCGAAAGAAAAATGTCAGTCTGGATATACACTGTGAAGAAGAGGAATGAGCTCCCTCTAGTTTCCATCTGATGACACCACTAATTCGAACTATAATCCTGACGAAAAACAATCAGTTTTTACTAAGCCAAATGCATGCAACTTTTATTTTTATTTAAAAAAAAGGAAAATATGTTTGATAGATAAAAGAAATAATTTTCGTGGTTTTTTTTTTCACTATCGGATGGTTAAATTTTCTTTTAGTCGATTATCTATCAATTTAAAAATTTCGAAGATTGCTAGAGCTTAACATATTTCAGGATGAAACAATTCTTTTATGAATAGAAATGGAACCCACCGAACTTATAATCAATAATGACGTATAACTGTCAAATGTTTATTACTGTCACATAGTCTTCGTTCTGGTTGTCACAATCTACTGTTTCTTCATCCTACATAATTACTTAATATGCTTCCTTGTCATATTTAATACATGTTTCTAAGAAAAAAAGTAAGTAACCATTATCGATATGACAATGACAAAATAGGTTATTGTTAAAATAACATAAATAATTAGATTACCATATTATTTTATCTTAGTTTAAATTTAATAAAAAAAAAAAAGAACGTTCTTTATATTTACTTTCATTAAAGTAAAGAATTATCGATTTGAAAATATGCGCTAAGAAAATAAACTTCATCATATTCGAAGAGATGTGTTTAGATTAGTACTGAACCTAATTATTTATGACTTTACATCTTCATCAAACATTCAAACCTGTCTTAATTTGATCAAAAGTTTATCTCATATATCGTTCAAAATTTCTGCATCTTTTCATTCATCAAAACTAAATCTATTAGACATTCTTCTATTTATGCATACAAAGACTAAACATCTCTATTAAAAACAAATTCATAATCGCTGTGTATGAGATAGTGATTGAGCGTATACATCAGATCATACTGTTGTATTAGAAGACAACAAACAAGAAAAAATAATTTCATATTAATCTCTTAGTTACTAACAATTACTTGAAGATTTTGTTCATCTTATCAATGATTCGTATCTTATACAACTTCTTTTTCAAGTTGTATATAAATGTTCCTCTATTTTATAATTCTATATATACTTAGGGCATTTCAAAAGTAGTGACGGCGACAGTTTAAAACCTTGTAGAGGTCTCGAGCAAATTTTCTTTCTATATATACTGATAACCAAATCAAGCTCTATAATTCTACAATATTTCAACATCCTTCAGGTAATATCATAACATTGAGAGCATAGCAAAAATAGTGGCAATGACAATTTGATATCATATAGTAAGCTTTAGGAAACTTTCTTATTATATGCAGGGACAGTGAAAAACAATGCTCTATTTTTCTGATCGTTCATCATATTTCAACTGATATCATAATAATGAAATTTCGAGAAAGAGCTGTTTGTTATGATATGTGACGATAACATGAATGCTCATATTTGAAAACAAAAGGTGCGTGAGTATTTTTTTTCAACCACTATTGACAAAAACAAGATAGAGAACTGCCGTTTTCATTTTTCGAAAAAGGTGATGAATATGCACCTCGATCGTATATTTTAGCCTTTTCTCATATGATTCCTGAATACCGGCAAAATGATTTTTTTTCACTGTATGCAGTAGAGAATCAAGTTAGAATGTCGACTAGAATATCTATAACTGCTGAATAATAAAATATCAACCGCTAATATTTTCGCAGTTTTGTAGATCTTCTGTTAGTAGTTCAAATGCACACCTGATAATTGAAAACTTACTGTGAACAACTCACGAGGTTACATTTGTTTTCAACAAGATTAGTTCAAAAGTCATGTAACATTCAATTCGATCCGTCTTTATCTTCTCTGTTGAACAACAAAAACTCCAACTCTCTTTATTATTTGTTTCAATAGTTATTCAAAAAAAATACTTACACACCTTTCTTTTAGACATGAGCATTCATATTACCGTCGCATATAATAACAAACAGATCTTTCTCGAAATTTCATTATTATGATATTAGTGGAAGTATGACTTAAAGCTTACGATATGGTATTGAAGTGACATTGCCATTATTTTTGCTATGCGTTCAGTGTTATAATATCACTTGAAGGATGATGAAATATTGTAGAAATATAGAACTCGATTTGGACTATCAGTATGTATAGAAAGAAAATTTCCTCAAAACTTCTATAAGATTTTATGCTGTCAGTGTCACTACTTTTGATATACCCTACATAAATATTTGTTTTATATCGATAAATATAAATGAATTTTTGCAATAGTTCAGTAAAGCTTTAGTCAATTTCTTTTTGAAAAGCTCAGTTGAATGAAAAAAAATAAGAAGTTCAATAATGTTAATATTTGACAAGCTAGCTTGTTTATTGTTTATTATGATTATTTATTTGTTAATCAACAGTATCAGTTTATCATCATGTTGATTTGTTTATATTCAATTAATTTAATTCAAATTTGAAAGAATTAACGGCAACAACACATAAATATATTTAAAGAATTTATTTCCAAAATAGAAAATTAAAAAAAGTATTCTCTAATTAACTGTTCTATATTTGTATACCCGACACATCCGCAAAAATTGCTAACAAGAATATCTCATTCTCTGGATATCGTCAATATTACATTTTATTTTAAAGTTCAATTCGAAACAATTTCAATCTATTGGAAATAATACAATTCGACAAAAAATTCTTTTCTCTATCAAATCTAATGTTAGTAGTTAAAATAGCTAATTAGTGTTGCTGTCAGATTTGTTTGAGGATCATGTTTCACATCTTAAATAGAATAAGCTAAGAATATATTCGTCTGACGATTCTAACAAAATTTTTTATAACGTTTGATTTTTTTTTTAGGAAAGATTTCCTTCATAATTCATAATCAAGTGTAACCACAATACTACGTATTTCTATTACACCATCATACGTCGGAACGCATATTTCTATTTATCGAGAGCTTCTTTTTTTTTATGTTCTCGTTATCTTTTCGAATTAACTTCACAATACTCAAAATAATATACAGATAAATGTATGATTTGTATGCGATTGGGATCCTTTCCTAATTGCATTTATCTAATCAGTAATGGATGGACAGAATCGATATATCACTAATGTTTATTCATTATACAATCAAATACTTAGCATATGCTAGAACATATCAATAGATATTTAAATGTAGAATGTGTCTCCATGGAGCATGCGTAACATAATAGATTTTATAAAAATAGACGAAATAGTACCATTCCAATAACAATGAGAAATTTTGAAATCATACTTAGAAAGATTATTTATTGCCTCTAATCTATATATAACATCATTTTTTTGCTGAATTAAAGTGAAAAAAAAATGCTAAATTTAGTATCTATCTTATTTTGTAGTGCTTTTGTCATTCAATAGCGACATTTAATTGCTGTGGCATATGCAGTACGAAAGACGAAAAAGATTAATACAAAAATAGATTGGTAAAAAAAGAACGAAAAAAAAAGAGTAATAAGTATTATTTGTTGTTACTTTTTCTGTTAAACAAAATGTACCAAAAAAGTTCTTTCATGCATTATTTTCTTTGTAAACAATTCTATATTTCAATATATCTTTAATCATTAAATAAAAAACAAAAATAAGTCAATTGTATCGAATGAATTATCATACAAGCAAAGAAAGACATATTGATTGATATTCAAAAGATTAATGCTTGTAAAAATACTATTGATATGTTTTTTTGTTGAAATCATGTCCAAAACAAAGTGTATAAAATTGTTCGATTATTTTAATCAATTCGAATTCGTTTCTTTTAAATTATTATGATATCAATTGTATGTTTCCTTTTTTTGCATTCAAATGATAAATAGAAGAATGTTATTTGACATAGAAATCAGAAGAACTGTGCTATTTACATAATATTCTACAGTATATCCCTAATAAATGTTTGCGTTGATCGTCATTATTGTTTTACTTTCTTATTCAAGAACTATGGCATATACATCGAAGATGTTATTTCTAACATTAAGAACAACTAATTAACAAACTTCATTTGTGACAGAAAAATCAATCAAACTGTAAAAACATTCTAGCTGTTGTCATTTTCCTAATTCCTATTTACGCAAACATCGAAAACGCAAAAAAAAATCCACATATATATTTAATCTTTAATATGTTACGTATCTTCATCCATTTTCCATACACAATGAGTTAAATCCTTCGAGTATACAACAATAAATCAAAAATGTCTAGATCAATAATTGAAATGTGAAGAATTATAGATATTAGAATGCATAGTATACAACAGATGACATCTAATCAAATCCATACTATCAATTATTCTATGAATACGAAATGAAGTATAACCAAAGTAATATCGTTATTAACGAATTAAAAAATTCCGTTTGTGAAACCAAAATATTTTTCTAAAGTCTAACAAAAATTTATAAGACACATTAGTATTTAATATCCATATTATTGATAATCAATAATCAAGAAAAAAAAAACTATTATGTCTATTCTATTCTGAATTAGAATTTCTTTTTGTGTGTATAAAAAACTTTTGAATTCTTGAAGAAACAATTCAATTACATGATCAATTTTAACAAATGTATCAGCATTGAAAGAGAGTAAACGTTAATCTCGATCTTCTAGATATATCTTCTAAAATTTTTTTGGACATGAAAACAAGGATT